TCTCCTGATTAGAGCCTTGGGCACTTGGTCAGAAACCCCCCATCTTTTCATTCACTGCATAGGAATCCTCCTCATAATAACACTCATCGATCGGAGGTGGTGGTTTAGCCAAGTAGTTGACTGCATTAATCTTTTCTACACCCCCAATGACATGTTTTAGTACCAACCCAAGCTCAGTTTTCATCTGAGCCATTTCTTCACGAATATCATCTGTGGCTGGGTTGTGAGTGGACTGCACTGCGAAGGTGTTTCTCCCTGTATCGGACTTCCTAGTACTCCAAGCTTTGTTGTTACAGGAGATTTTCTCTAATTTCTCAGCAATCTCAGCATAAGGGCATTCTCCATAAGATCCACCTGCTATAGTGTCCAACACCGCTTTATTGTTATCATCCTGTCCCCGATAGAAGTATTCCTTCAGTGACTCATCATCAATACGGTGATTTGGAACACTTCTCAAGAATGAGGTGAATCTATCCCAAAAACTACTAACTGACTCTCCTGGTAGTGCCACAAAGTTGTTCACCCTGTCTTTGTGGTTTAATTTCTTGGAGACCGGATAGTAGCGTGCTAAGAAGAAATCCCGTAGTTGGTTCCAAGTGAAGATGAAGTTGTATGGGAGCTCAGCAAGCCACATAGCAGCCTGTCCCGTCAGTGAGAGAGGAAACACTCTGAGACCTATTACATCTAGATCCAAATCAGGTCTCCCCACACAACTTTTACACACTGCCCTTACCTTAGCTATATGGGCATGTGGATCTTCAGAAGGTAGCCCTGAAAACAAACCTCTGGCAGTGAGCATTTACATCAGGCTACTAGTCACCGCAAAAGTGTGGCCTGTGGGTAGAGGGGGCAAGACAAGTGGCCCATCCGAGTCTGCTATGTTATCATACCCTCTGTAGTATGCTTGGGGCCGTTGAACGGGATTTTGTCCCTTCTATTGATGTTCACCCGGAGCATTGGGTAACATCTGACCATGAACATCCACTGGATCTGGGTTGTTCTGGTTTGGATCCTCATCATTAATTCCCAAGTTTCGATTCATATTGCGCAGTGTATGCTCTAGCTCGTGATCATAGGAAAACAAGGGTTCTCTTCCTCTCCGTGTATTTGGCATACAAGGAGGATAGTTCTGAAAGGAAATCAAAAACAATAAAACAAAGTTAAATCAAGAAAATATCAACTAAACTTTAGTAATAAGTTCAAGTTAATCTAAAATTCCCCGGCAGCGGCGCCAAAATTTGATACGCTCAAACTTACTTCTCAAATTAGAAGTAAAGCAGTCGCGTCAAGTAAATAACCCAACTAGTGAGTTTGGGATCGTTCCCACGAGGAAAATAGTCTAGACTTAACTTCAACTTGTTATTACTATTGTTCGGTTGATGACTTCCTTAGAAAGTAAAAACATAAAAAGGGGGGGTTCTATCTCTAAATAAGTGAAAATAAACAACGAACTTGAAAGAGATACTTAACAGCTTTTAATTTTGGGTTTTAATCAATTAATCAAAGTAACTAGAGTTTACGTGTTCCCCACAGGTTCATAACTTGATAATTCTAACTATAACAATTCTTTCCTAGTATCTTGCATGCAAAGTGATAAGTTATGTATTTCTAAATCCTTGGTCCGGCATCTAGAAAATCTCACTCCGCACCTTGATCTGGCTACGTGTGTTGCTTTCCTAACCCTTATCTTTACCTCATATTAAGCATCGTATTCGATATTTGACTAAGTTATTACCTCGTACCAATCAATACTAGCCTATTAGATAGTATACACTAAATCTATGTTAATAATTCTTTTCCTATTATCTACCTCCTTGGTCTGGCAAGTAGCATTAAGGCGAGTTCTAATGTTGATCATCCGTTAAAAAGACTTCTAAGCGAAAGAATTATTAATACATGCAAAACACTATTCTAGAATTGTTATTTTAGCTAGGGTTTATCTCATTATTTGCCTATGGTTCCCACAAGCCTAGTTATGGAGTTTAGTTACTCATGGCCATAAACACAATATTGAAATATGTTAAATAAGAATTCATGTACTTACTTCAATGAGAAAGAATAAAGTCCGAAAATTTGCTTAATTAGTCACCAAAAATCACTTGTAAGAATCTCCAAAAAATCAAACACTAATACACAAAGTCTAATAATATGATGTCTAATCTAGCAGAGTCTAACCTCAAAAATGAGGTTTTTCGAACTATTTATAAAAAATAAAAACCTAATTAAACAAGGATTCTAATTACTGGAAATCTGCCAAAACGCGGCTGGGTCGACGGACCATCGTGGTCACAACGGACCATCGAGGGTCTTCGTTTCAAAATACTTCAACTCTTGGAATCTAGGTACTGGGATCACTTCTCTGATCTTCATGATGAACCTGCAGGACGGACCGTCATAGCCATGACGGACCGTCACAAGCTTCGTAATCCCACACTTGGTCAGACTTCCCCATCTTCGTTCAGCAGCTGCACTACGCTGCTACCTACGGACCGTCACAGACACGACGGACTGTCATAAGCTCCGTAGGTGGTCTCTTCTGCATTTTTCGCTCAAAATCTTTGCTTTCAGCTCTGGACAGATTTCCTGCAAAACAAAGAGAAACTTATATCAAAATTAGCACAAAAAAGGCTTCCGGACACATTAAACTTAAGGAAAAAGTATTAATTATACCGTGAAACAACGGTATATCAAGAACCATTATTACAACTCATCTACACAACTTAACGAAAAGATAGGCATTTAAAGATACTGAGCAGGCTTAAATGTCTAAAGAAAATCGAAGTTCTCATATAATTTGGAAATTAACCAAAAAAAACCTACCAAACATTACGGAAAACCATCCCTAGAACCTGAAAGTCAATGTACCGATCCACATTTTCAATCACGAGTAAATATGACAATTCAATGGTACTTTTATGGAACACATACCTAAACTTTTAGTATACCAAAATATGGTACCCGATCTTAATTAGTGTGTCAAACGTGGCACCCATTCAATATACGCGCCAGAATGTGGCACCAAATCCAAGTTAGTGTGTCGAAACATGACACCTGATCCATTCAACACAACCACAATCACACTCATATGTACATTCTCATAATCATACAATCAAGTTTTGATCATGACATACATTTACTCATTCGTTCTCATTTCATTAGGTTCGATCAACAATGTTCCAATCTCATACATGCATGAATAACAATGAAGCAATTTACCAACATATATTATGCAAACAAGAAATCAACTTATCTCCTACTTTGAAACCAAGCTTGAATCACTAAGACACTTGAATTTTTTGTTTTCGAATTCTTTCCGCTTGTTCTAGGTATAAAAATAACAACTTCATGCAAGGATCAATTAGTTAAGGTCTACTTACCCGGATTATAATAAACCTAATATCCCATGACCAAACACATGATCCTATTGTGCAGCTAGGGCTTTTCCCCACCATCAAATTCAGTTCACCCTCCAATAATATTTAACCAAGAATCTATGTTCTACGAATCGAAAATGAAATTAGGGGAGTAAAATCCTTACCTTTAACACCTAAATTCGTGAAAAACTGTCAAGAAATCACCTGGGGTCGTCTCTTACGTAATAAGAGTGGAACCTGGAGAAAAATAATGTTTTTGGGATTTAATTCCAACTAAAGTCGCAACTAGACTGCCTTAGCATGCCTCAACCCGCCATAGAGGCAAGGCCCTGACGGGAATAATCTCGTCACAACCGCTTACACGGAGACAGAGAGTCGAAATTTGATTTCCATCCCCCATTTCACGAAATACCTCAATCCATGACGTTCAAAACTACCATTTCATGCTAAGATTAGTTTCGAGAGTTTCACTCGCCCAAATTTAATTCTGTAAAGTCGTACGGGTTCCTTAAAATCTTAGCTATCTTCTCGTGCAATCAAATTCAATATTTAATCTCTCATTCATTATCAGATTTTTCTAGACCTCACGTGACTCATAATTCATTCAAATCTGGATTAGGCTAGGAAATTTCAAGTTACTACCAAAAAGTTTTCTGGCCCCAAAATTTTTCCCTGTTGAATTTTCTATAATGTTGGGAACATGTTCTTACAATAGATACGAATTTACCTATCACTTGTCCTCAAGTAACAAACTAGGAAAACGGCTAAAGTAATATTGGAGTAGTACCTGAATCGTCAAACAACTAGAGATACTTGTCTCCCATGTCTTTTACGATTTTTGAAGTAGCTTCCTCAAATGGAAGATACTACCATTGAACTTTCACAGACTCAATCTCTTTGATTCTCATCTTTCGGACATGGTGATCTAGAATTGCAATCGGTTTTTCCTCATACTCAATGTCTTTATCTAACAACACTCAGTCCCACTTTATGATGTAATCTCCTTCTCCATGTTACTTCTTCAACATGGATATATCAAAAAACTAGTGAACTCTAGATAATCTAGGTGGTAAATCCAATATGTAAGCCATTAGCCCTACACAATCAAGAATCTCAAAATGGGCTGATGTAACGACGATTAAGCTTGTCCTTCTTGTTGAATTTCATCTCCCCTTTCATGGGTGATACTTTAAGATTAACACTCTCACCAGTCTGAAATGCCATTTCTTTTACCTTATGACATGTATAGTTCTTTTGTCAACTTTGGGGCGCTAAAAGCTTAGCTTGGATGCTTCTTACCTTATCCTGAGCATCCTTTACCAAATCCATCCCTAAAGGTTTTACATCTCCCAACTCAAACTCTCATACGGGGATCTACATCCCCTCCCATAACTTGAATAGTGCCATGTATATGCTATATTGGTAACTATTATTATAGGAGAACTCACACCAACAGTAGAAACTTATCCCAATGTCCTTCAAAATCAATCACACATGCCCTCAACATGTCCTCTAACACTTGAATGGTTCTCTTTGACTGCCGGTCCTTTCGTGAATGGAAAGTTGTACTAAAAGTGAGTTGAGATTCAACTCACCATGTAATTTTCTCCAAAAATTGTATGTGAACTATGTACCCCGGTCTGAGATGATAGAAAGAGGTATCTCGTGCAACCTCACTATCACTTTCACATAATCCTTAGCCAACTGCAAAGCATTATAATCTATTTTGACCGGAATAAAATGGGAGGACTTAGTCAATCCATCAATCATTATCCAAATAGAATCAAACTTTCCCAAAGTCTTGGGGAGATTAACCTCAAAATCTATAGCTATCTTTTCCCACTTCCATTCCGAAATTGACATTCTCTGAAGCAAACCTGCAGGCCTTTGATGATAGTACTTTACTTGCTGACAGTTTTAGCACTTAGCCAAAAAATCAGCTATGAAATTCTTCATGTTAGGCTACTAATAAAGTACTTCAAATCTCGATACATCTTGATCACATCTGGATAAATGGATACCATAAACCATAAGCTTCTTTCAGCAATTTTTGAATCAAATCATCCACTCTAGGAACACAAATCCTTCTTTTAAAGCTAAGCACACACCCGATATCTAAAGTCACATCTTGTGCCTTGCCAAACACTGTTTTCTTTTTTAGCTCATTCAAATTCTCATCCTCAAATTGTTTGGCCTTGATATCTTCAATGAATGTGGCCCTTACCTCAATGCTAGCTAACACTCCACCTTTTTCCAAGATGTCAAACTGCGTAAACTTAAATTTAAAGGTTTGAATTTTCTTAGCCAAAGGTCGATTGGATACACTCAAGCAAGCTAAACTATCCATTATCACCGTCTTCTAGCTCAGTGCATTTGCCACTACATATCCCTTATCCGAATGATATTAGATGGTGACATCATAATCTTTAAGTAACTCCGTCCCTCTTTGTTGTCCCAAATTCAAATCCTTTTGCGTAAATACATGTTGTAGACTGCGATGATCTATAAACACCTCACACCATAAAGGTAATACCACCAGATCTTAAGATCAAATGCTATAGCTGCCAACTCTAAATCATGTGTAGGATAATTCTTTTCATGCACCTTTAACTACTGCAATACACACAACATCCAAATCCAAATGTGAAATGTCACAATAAATAGTAAGATCTTTACCTTAAACCGGCAGTGCTAGAATAAGTGTTCTGGTCAAAAGAGTTTGGTACTTTAGAAAGCTCTTATCACATCTTTCAGTTCATTTGAAAAGTACCTCATTCTTGGTCAACCTTGTTAGATGTGTGGAAATAGAACCAAAGTTTTTCACTAATCGATGATAGTAACTAGCTAGCCCAAAAAAACTCTCAACTTTGATCACAAAGTTAGGTCGGACCCAATTCTTATCCGCTTTAATCTTTTGGAGATCTACCATTACCCCTCTCGTCAAAACTACATGCCCCAAAAAGACTACTGAATCCAATAAGAACGCATCACGTGGAAAATTTGGCATATAACCTTTGTTTCTGAAGAACACCCAGAACAATACGAAGATTGTCGGCATCCTCTTCCTTACTCTAGGAATAAACCAAAATATCATCAATAAAGACTATCATAGAAGAATCCAGAAATGGCTTGAACACACCATTCATCAAATTCATGAAAGTTGCAGGGGCATTGCTCAACTGGAATGACATTACTAAAAACTCATAGTTCTCGTAATATGTCCTGAACGCCGTCTTTGGTACATTCTCAGGCCTAATTTTTAACTAATGGTAACAATATCTTAGATCAATATTAGAGAAAAATGAAACACCTTGCAACTGGTCAAAATGATCATCTATTCGAGGTAACTGATATCGAATGGTGACCCTATTCAACTGTTGCTAGTCTATGCACATCCTCATACTACCATCATTTTTTAAACAAACAAGACATGATCACCCCATGGGGAAGCACTAAGAAGGATGAAACTGTCATCAAGAAGTTCTTGGATTTGAGTCATACACAATCTCAATTCTACCGGGGACATGCGATACATATGGATAAAAATAGAGCGGGTACCAGGTTCTAAATCAATGCAAAAATCTATATCTCGATATGAAGGCATACCACAAAAATCAGTGGGAAACACGATCCTAAATTCAGACACTACAAGAATAAAGTCAATAGAGGGAGACTTAATTAAACCTCAACATCCCGAATATATGTCAAGTACGCAAAACATCCCTGCCCCACCAGATTCCTAGCTCGAATTAAGGATATGACCTTAGCTACTTAGGCTTATACACCCCTTCCCACTTTAATTTTTCCCTATCTCTAGAGTCATAGGACACAAAATAATAGATGGACAACCAAGTCATGCCTATGATTATATCAAAGTCAATCATATAGAAAATAACCATATCAACCCAAGTTTGGAAACCCATAAACATAACAGAACAAACACGATACACATGGGTGACTATGACAAACTCTCCAACTGGGGTAGAAACATGGATAGGGGGCATCAACTACATCACAAATGTCTTTAAATTCCAAGGCAAATTGAACTGACACATATGAAAAGGTAGAACCTGGATCAAATAATACATTATCCATTCGGTCACAAATAAGGATAGTATATGTGATCATTGCATTAGATGTCTCTGCATCAGTATTGCCCGAAAAAGAATAAAATTGAGCTTTGTCATCTTGACGGACAACCTCCTTGCCGCTCATTACCATTACCCCGACTTCCACGACCTCATTGATTTCCTTTTCGCCCACCTTCTGATCGTCCTCTACCATTATTACTATTGCTCGCGGGTACCACTCTCTAGTATGTTTCTACGTTGAATCCAACATGAGCTGTTGGGGATAATCTCTTCTCATGTGGCCAAGTTCCTCACAATTATAACTAGTAAGATTAAAGGACGGTGTGCCGCTAGCCAAAGATGTGAATTCCTGGTTATCGCGAATAAAATTCTACTAAAGAGTTCCTGAGTAGTTACCTATACAAGCGGGCATGGAAAACTGAATTGGTTGCCCCGTCAGCCTATTTGAGCCTCTAGAGTAGGAACCCAGAAATTCACTTCTTTTTTTGTCTATCTTAGCCAAAGCCTTAGCCTTCCCATCACGTCTAACTCCTTCTAGTTTGTTCACAAAGTTGATTACCTCATCAAAGCTTTTTCCTGCAAATGTCTTGTGAACAGACAATACTTGAAATTCAAGTTTAATCCTTTGACAAATAGAAACGAATCCTCTTCTTCTCAATTGTTACCAATTATGTAGAATATCTTGATAAGTCATGGAACTTAGCCTCATAAACAACTACAGTCATACCACCCTGTTCTAAAGCCATGAACTCATCCTTTTTGCAATCTCTCAGAGTCTGGGGCATATAGTTTTAAAAAACGGGCCATGAAAAGTGTGTCCAAGTGGATGGGGGTAAAGCTGACGATCTGCATTCTGCAGAAGCTCTCCAACATTACTTAGCCTCACCTTGAAGTTGGAAAGTCACAAACTCTACTACATGCTGATGGACAATACAAACTTATGCAACCTTTCTTAAAAATCCAAGATGAACTCATGCGCGTCCTCATTCTCTGAAACACATGGGCTTCAATTTCAGAAACTTAATCAGTATCTCATGCTCATTATCAGTCATTACATGACCCAATAAAGGATAAAAAATGACATCAGTACCTACGATTTTACTCAATTGGGGACAATAATGGCAATAGGGGTTGGCAAGAGCTTGGGTTGCTTGAATTGTGGGAAGAACTTCAGGACTAACCAATATTTTCAGAAAAGACATAATTTATTGAGCTAATACTAAGTCTAAGAGAGGAATATTTGTAGTCTCAACCTATATCTCTTTATCTTGTCCAACATCCTCCTCATTCTCAACCTCAATATTCTCTTCTATCTCTTCATGATGCGCAAGAGAAATCTCAATTCTGGGAGCATTCTCAACCGAAGCTCCACCCCTAGCGGATGCTACCCTTCCTTGGCCTCTACCCCTTGTTATTTCTCTATCCCTGGCTCAACTAAGACCTCTTGCTGCAAACTCCTCAGTGGGCTCATTGACAGGATCCACGGGCCTTACACCGTTAAAGCGGGTGTTAACCATCTGTGTACAGAAGAGTGAAAGAGATTAGATACCGATTCACATCACCATATACCAATTGGAATCAAGTTATAGTATTAAGAAGACAAGAGAAAACAAAGAGGTTTTCAAAAATCGTATGACCTCTCGAAGAAAAGTACAAACGTCTCTGTACCATTTCATACGACTCTTTGGTACACTGAGATCAATGATCCTAGGGGTTTGATACCAGCTTTTTCACAACTTAAATCGTTGTGATCAGTACTTACACTAACCCTCCTATTGGAGAATTGTTACTACAACCCAAACTAAACAATTTACCAAGAGCTAAGACATTTAAAGATATGGAAGTAGGTTTAAATGCATAAACGGACTAAAGAGTTTCCTTAAACTCCAGGAATTTAATAAACTATCAAAATATTGCAGAAATATTCCCTAGAAAGTAAAAAACAATATACCAAAACATCTAAAGTTTAACAAGTCTAAAGAAAATGGTACAACCCAACTAAACATACGAGTAGTAAGTCTAACTAGAAAGTATAATTCCGAAAATAGTGGACTAAAATATAGAAGACCCATGACAGACTGAAAGAACTGACTGACCCTTGAATCTGATCTTGCTCTCTGATCTCCTAAACAAGGTCTATCAGAAAATCTTCTAGGGTCATCTCCTAGCTCTCAAGAATGAAACATGTAGAAAAATAATATTTTTGGAGTTTATTTTCGACTTAAGTTATGACTGGCCCGCTATGGCAGCCCTCGTCCCTCCACATAGGCCTTGCCCTAGCGGTTTTCATGAAAATAGAAAGTCGAAAGTTGAGTTTCAGACCTCCATTTCAAAATGCACCTTCAGCTCACGATACTCAAAAACTATCCGTTCACGTTAAGATCAGTTTTGGTATTCTAATTGTTCGATTTCGATTTCGTGAAGTCATACGAATTTCTTAACGTATTAGCTATCTAATCATGTGATCAAATTCATAATTATATCTCTCATTCATTACTAGATCTCCCTAAACTTTACTGACTCTGATTTCATCCAAATTTGGACTAGGCTAGGAAATTTCAAGTTACTACCAAAAAAGTTTTTTTCGCCCAAACTTTTTCTCAAGACGTAAACCGGTCCTTATAATGTTTTTTTTCTTGAAAAATTGTTATTGTTGATATTTTTAAGTATATGTAAATTGTTTTAATTATTATTACAATTTATTCAATTTTAATATATCAACTAGAATTCCGTTTTTTCAAAAAGATAGAAAACATGAAGAATTAAATAAATCTTAAAAAAAGCACTTGATAGATTTTAACAAATAATGAATATTTCGAATAAAAAAATATTGAAGGTTGTTCTTCAAATGAACAAGTCACCAATAAAATTGAGTTAGATGATGATAATATACAAGAATAAACTTTACAAGAAGTTGGTAAAAACATGACATTGTTCCCGATATCAAGAACTCCTAAATTAAATAATTTAAATAGTCGCATTCCTAAAAATATATATGATCGAAGTCAATGGAATAATGTAGATACAAAAGAGAGATCTATTAATAGAAAAGGGACCATTTAGAATGACTGGTACAAATTTTTCATAAGATAAATACGTACGACATTTTTCTACAACATGCTATATTCAAAAATTGCTAAACGGATAAAAGCATGAAAGAAAAATGATTAATTTAATCTAAAGATTTGGATAATATTTTGTTTTTGTTGTAAATTATTTAGCATAATTTATATTATTTGTAATAATAAACTAGCTA